GATAGATAGATAGATAGATAGATAGATAGATAGATAGATAGATGATGATAGATAGATAGATAGATAGATAGATATAGATAGATGATAGATAGAGAAGGTCATAAAAAGACTTCCTTATAAGGAAAGCTCTAGACCAGATGGCTTCACAGCTGAATTTAACCAAACATTCATAGAAGATATACCACCAATTCTACCTAAAGCTTTTAAAAAAATAGAAAAAGAAGGAACACTCTTAGAGTTATTTTATGAAGCAAGCATAATGCTGATACCAAAACCAGTCAAAGTTATTACCAAGAAAGATATTACCTTATTATTTATGGTGAGATTCATTCTGAAGTCTATTTTATCAGAGTTTAGAGAGACCAGTATCTCTCATTAATATAGATGCAAAAATCCTTAGCAAAGTCCTACCCAATAAAATCCAAAAGCACATCATCGCCAAATGGGATTCAGAACTGATAAGCATGGATGGAAAACAATAAGAAAAACAATCAACTATATTCACCATATTAACAAAGCAATACCATAAACCATATGATCTTAGCAATTGATACACAAAAGGTATTTGACAAAATCCAATATCCCTTATCTATAAAGACACTCAGCAAAACTGGAATAAAAGGAAATTTCCTCAAAGTAATGAATAACATATATGTAAAACTGAGCCAATATCATTCTCTATGGAGAAAGACTAAAAGTAGTTTCCTTGTGAACAGGGAACAGGAAAAGATACACACTGTCACCACTATGACTCAATATTGTATTGGAATTGCTTGCGAGGGCAATATGACAAAAGAAGAAAATAAGAGGCAAAGAGATGGTTAAACTGTTGCTATATGCAGATGATATGATAGTGTACACAGAAAACCCCAAAGACTCAACAGCAAAACTTAGAGCTAGGAGACCAGTTGTGTAGAGTGGCAGGTTACAATATCATTATCCAAAAATCAGTGGAATTCTTCTACAGTAAAAAATAGAACTCAGAGAAGGAAACCAAGAAAGCAATACCATTTACAATAGCAAACCACAAATTGAGACACTTGGAATTGAACCTAACTAGAGTTACAAAAGACAAACTACAAAGAAAACTATAGGACATTTCTGTGAGACACAATAAAAGAAATAAATGGAAAAATGTTTCCTGTTCATGGATAGGAAGACTCAATATTGTGAAAATGCTAATCTTACCAAAAGTAATCTACATTTTCAACGCAATCCCAATACAGATACCAAATTCCTTTTTCAAGGAGATCGAAAGAGATATTGTAAAATTTATTTGGAAAGAGATCCCAAATAAGCAAACCACTTCTGAAAACCATAAATTAAGTGGCAGGCATAGCAGTCCCTGACCTCAAATCCTTCTACACAGCAGTAGTAACTACAATAGCATGGTACTGGTACAATGACAGACACATTGACCAATGGAATAGAATTGAGAACTCAGAAATGGACCTATCTATCTATGATCCCCTAATATTTAACAAGGAAATGAAATCTACCAAAAGGAAAAATGACAGTCTCATCAACAAATGGTGCAGACAAAATTGGACTGCTGCTTGTAGAAATCTGAAATGGGAACCACATCTCACACCATACACAAAAAATCAGTTCAAGGTGGATAAGCACCCTGGGAGAAAAGCCCCAAACTCTAAAGTTCATGAGAGACAAACTAGGATCAAGCTTAGTCAGTCTAGTCTGTGGTGTAAAGAGACTGCCAGAAAGATACATTCTAAGAAAATAAGATAATGAAATAGAATGTCTAAAGATAACAAAGTGAAAAGAAAACCTACTACTGACTGTGAAAAAAATGTTTGTCAATACCATTTCAGACAAGCATTTCATATCAAGACTCCTAAAGGGCCTCCACACAAAAAAGACTGACTGATAACACAGTTTAAAAATGGGCAAAAGAAGACATGTGGATGGCCAAGAGACACATGAAGAAATGCTCCAAATCACTGGCAGTAACAGATGCAAATCCAAACCACAATGAGATAACCATCTCACACCAGTAGCAGTGACAAAGTTTAAGAGTGTGACAAAGTTTAAGAGGACAGCAAGCAATAAATATTGGAGAGGATATGGAGAAATAGAAACTGTTAGCCATTTTTTGTGGGATTGTAAAATTGTACAACAACTCTAGAAAGCAGTTTGGAGCTTTCTTAAAAAGCTGAACATAGAAATTCCACTGCTTGAAATATACCCAGAGAAAATGAGAACTGAGGCACAAATGGAGACTTGTACACCAATATTCATAGCAACATTATTCACCATTGCAAGAAGAAGGAAACAGCCCAAATGTCCACCTATGATCAAATGGATTGAGAAATTATGATCTATTCACACATTGGAATACTACTCAGCACACAGGACCAATGATTCTATATATTACTGCCTAACTTGGGAGGGATTGGGGAGCATTTTACTAAGTGAACGAACTCAATCCCATAAGGATGGATACTGTTTAAGACCATCATTGTGGAATGTGTATGAGAATCGAAGAGGAGGAGAGTAGAAGCAGAGGGATGAGACTGGGGGGAGGGAGAATTTGTGGTTAATCTTGTTGATTGCCATTGAGTCAAGCACGACCCATAGCATGTCTTTAAACAAAAGGCCTGAAGCTTTTCTATAACTATTGTCATTTATCAAAGTTCATAGAGTTTCCAAAGGCAAATGTTGTTTAGGAACTGTATGTAATCATAGGGTCACACAATTTGATGGGTGTCTTTGGGTTGGCAGTGTAACTCTCACCCACTTGGCCACCAGAACTCCCTTTTAGCATTGACTACTATTAAATTTTTTATATGTTCTTTAGTATTTCTATTGTTGTTGTTAATTGCCATCCAGTTGAACACAACTCACAGCGACCCTATAAACAAAAGGCCTGAACCCTTTCTATAACTATCAACATCTATAAAAGTTCATAGAGTTTCCAGAGGCATGTTGTTTAGAAAGTGGATGTCATTCCTGCTTCCAAACGCTGTCCACCATGAGTAACCATTAAGGCATTTGACACCTCAATGGCACAAGGTTCAGCATCACAGCAACCTCAGGTTACCTCAGTACAGTGTACTGACAGAAGAGTGCTATACCACTTAGAAGAATGTTCCTCCAAAAATATAATAGCAACCAACTTTAAATACAAAGGCCCACCCTGAGTTCTTGTTTACGCTAAACAAGAGGCTTAAATTAAAAAAGGAAAATCAATCAATATAGTATGTTGTTGTTGTTGTGTGCTGTTGAGTCACTTGCCATGTATAGTGACCCTATGTACAGCAAGCAGCTCTGAACCCTGTCCTGTCCTGAGCCAGTCTCACTATTTCTGACATACCAACCCCCATTGTCCCAGATATTGTATCAATCCATCTCATCCAGGGTCTTCCTCTCCTGCGTTGTCACTCAACCCTACAAAGCATGATGCCTTTCTCCAAGGACCAGTCTCTTCAGGTGTCCAAAATATGTGAGGCACAACTTCAAAATCCTAAACTCTAAGGAGAGACTTGATTTCACTCTAAGACAGACCTATTTGTTTTCTTGGTGATCCATGGTATTCTTTTTCTGTCATCCTTAGTCCTTGTGCAGCTCTCTGAAGCATAACAAGTAATTGAGAAGACGATGGCCTG